CCGGCGGCTCCCCGGCTCCCGAGCGCACGGTCCTGTTATTCCTCATCCACTCCAAATATCAAGGAGTGCCACGCAGAGATGCATCTTTGGGAATCTCTTGGGTAAGCTTTCCGAACAAAGCTGTTACTGATACCAATGTGTGGAACACTCTGTTCTTGAATTTGGGTACCCAATGAGCATTTTATTCCTGACCAAGTCTCCGTTGACTTGCCTAGTAGCAAGTTCTCGTTCCTTTGAACACCCAGCGATTTCAGACTGCACCACATTGGTACGTTTTGCCCTTGACAATTCCACATTAACCACTTCAGTTCATTTGTCTTATCTTTCCAGATACCAAAGCCAGGCTGATGGGTCTCTGGAATTCCCCAAGTCCTCTTTGCTTTCCCTTTTAGGATGTCTTTGCCATCTATCTCTCAAAAAAACCCACACAAACAAAACCTTACAAGTCCAGAACCCACTTTCTTAGCCTCATGCTGGGGCTTTGCATTACCTGCAAACCCCATCACGAGCACCCGACCTGTTGAGGGAGCAGCTACCAGGGAGGTGAGGGGAGAGGAGGACACACTGTGCGGCCACACACCCTACTCCACCTTCTGCCCCAAACAAATCCTGTAGCAATCTGGCAGCATGCTCACAGGACCTGTTCTAATTCAACCTGTTTCATTTTAGTACCTTAAAAAATACATAGTAATACAGGAAAGAGGAATATTAAACTTATCTCCCTACTATTCAAAGAATATCTCCAAGAGATTGCTAGAAGTTAAATTCCTCCCTGCAACATCTCCAAGTTAGAGAAGTGCCAGTCACATTCCAGACCACTAAACAGTTCCCAGCTAATTTAATCCTACGGAGTGGAGTCACTTCCCAAACCAAGCCTTTTATGTCAAAAATGAATTCATGGTTTCACGTTCACGAGAATGCTCCCAACTTTCATATCTCTTGCCATTGACCCCAAATCCAATCCCTGATTCTCTTCCACCAAGGTCGCTCCTATTTCTATACCATGTTCATCCAACCCAACGCAGGATCCTGGCAGAAGGCTATAGGATATTTCTTCCATTTCTCACCTCTCTGGAAGCTGTTAGTTCCTTGTCATTTTAGACTAGAAATAGCTCTATCATAAAAACAATGCCTAATAAAAGCTACTTAGCTGGGAGTACCAAAAAATTCAAAATTAAATTTGCTTTCAAATTCAAAAATCCCGGTTGAGACATACCTAGTTAGTATACCCCACTAGCAAAGTATCTCCATTGATACCATAGGAAACATGTTTATATGGTTTCCTATAGGGGAAAGCACTGAAGGAAGATGCTTAATCAAATGCTACAGGCATAACATACTCACTTTGCTACAACAGCAAGTGCACACAGAGATGTCTCTTACAGATGAGAGTTCATAACCAACCAACATGTATTTACATGTTCTTACCTGCTGTCTTACTAACATCATACCCAGAAACAAATACATGACCTGCGTCTGCCTGAAGACCTTCCTGGGACAGACACCATGAAAAGGGACAGCCCTGGGAGCCTTCTGCAGAGCGTAACAAACTTCTGGCCAGCAACACAGACCACCAAAGGCAGTTTCACCCTGGAGCTGGCTCCACTCTTACGACAGTGTCCAAAACGTGTCATTTAAGTAACACAGAATAAGGACCTCAATATCATGCATGTATCTAAAGTCTTTGTCTAACACTATCTAACATGTATTAAGTTCCAAAACATTTTAAATTCCTATAAGCAAGAGATCTTAAATAGTTTAATGTATCTAAGAGATACATTCCACACAGTCATACATTTCTTTTCACAAATTCCTACAAACTCTTTTACAATTTCTTACATTTTTTCAGGCTTACTCTCCAGAAGACTGTGCACCAAAGTGTCTCCGGTTTACTAGAAAGTATTATTATAGCAGATATAAAATGAAGATATTCACTTAGTATATGAAGAATATGGTATTGACCAACTTACTTTGCTTCATCTTCTGCAAGTCGCTGACTCTGCTCTTTGGAAGTTTTATATAGTCTGTTTTAATTTTGTGTTCTTTCTGATTTTCTGTATTTTCTTCAAAAGTTAAGTGCTGAAGAGAATTTGGAGGTATCTGCTTTACAGTATCAGCATTTCCATCACTGTCAGGCTGCAAACCTACAAAAGGAATAAGTGCGTTTAGTTTCTAGAGGACTCCAAGTTTACAGTGTTGCTGCAAGGAGTAATTCAGTACATTGCAGTGAGTAACCATCCCCTATCGTGCTACCTTGGCTATGGCTTTTCAGTGGAGATGTGTTTCATCAAACCTAGACCAGTAACATGCTTATCCATTTCTTCAATTTATAAAAATCCAATAATGAACTAAACAATATTTACAACTTGCTTCAAGAGCTTTGATTTTAGCCAAAGTTGCAGTGCATTACAGAAGTCAAAGTAAAAAAAAAAAAAAAAAAAAAAGAATCATAAAACTACATAATTAAAGAATACTGAAAAACTTGCCACCTTGACATGAGTGCCACCATTCTTTTGATGAACTCTTTCTAGACAGAAAGCATTCTGCATGCTATCTTTCATGTTTTTTTCATTGAAAAAGTCAGAATGAATGACTCAAAAATAACTGAAGGAAGTGTTTTAAAGCCTTGACATTTAGAAACTCTTTTTTCCCCAAAAAACAAACCAAAAACAGGCATAATAAATAATTTGAAACTGACTGGTCATGTCAAAAACGACAGATGCTTGAGTTATATTTAAAGTTTTTAAGCGTGATATTATCTGAACATGTCACTTGAAGTACAGTTTTTTTTTTTTTTAAACATTAAAGTCACCTGATCCACTAGCAGTAAAACTAAATATATTTTTTATGGATTTGTGTTGTTCACTTTTTAACTGCAATTCTTCTACGCCTTTTTACTGCAACTTCTCCCTTGCTTGAACCTCCTCCACATCCTCCAGCCAGTTCAGGGAAACAGGACGACCTGGACTGAGTGCTGGTGCTGCTGCTTGTTCTCTGACAACCAACAGGTCCTCAGTTATCTCGAGATCATGCTCATGCCTTAGCCCTGTCTGTAGAAGGGACAGCAATCTTAATTCTCCTTTGTCCCTTGGAGAAATTTTGAAGCACTCACCTTTGAAACTTCCAACTGTCAAATTTCGCTGTAATTGTTCCGAAGGCTCAGAAACTATTGGTGTGTGGGTGGGAAATATAGTACAATCACATAAACCTCAGTGCCTCACAAGGCCACACAAAGAATACACTCAATCTTGTATGGTGCAGAAATCAATTGCTTTACTTTTTATAACTGCATCAAACAAAAAAAAAAAGGGGGACTGGCCACTTGCACCTAACATTTATGATGTGGTGGCAGGTATCAGCTGATAAGTTTTCTACAACATACCGACACGTCCAACACTGATAAGCGTTTTACCTGGAGCCAGATCTGGAGCCTGGGGCTGTTCAGTTGGCAGATTCACAACAGGCTGACGACCTTCACTTTGAGAAGCTGAAATAAGTGGCTTCTTTATAGCTGAAATAAAACACATTGACAAAAGCCTTAAGGTGAAACAAATGGCCACAATATACTGAGCCTTCCTCTGACTTTTTTTTTTTTGCTTTTATTTTTAATCAGATGAAAATATAAAATACAAGATTTCTGAAAAAAAAAGTATCAAAAGCACTTAAGCATTCAACATTTCCGAGAAACTTCTAATAAACAAATACAGTAAGAACTGTCAGACTTTATACTCAAATTTTGTTGCTATACAGAGGTTTAAAACCTTCGTGATCACTATGGAACACCTGGTATTCAAACAAGACATACATGTCACCAAGCACCCAACTGAGAAATTATTAGAATATTTCTTCTAACCAGTGGGTGTATCTTCAGCTTTAGCAGGGTCATTGTCTTCTATTTCAGGCATGCCTGCATCTCCTCCTAGCTTGATTTTCTCTGTAAAACAGGAAAAAGATATTCTTCTTCACTCATCTGTTGAAGTTTTAAGCGAAAATTTACTCCTTGGGGAGGCCCCAGGAGCAGGAGCAAAGCCCTCCTTGCACAGGAGGCCCTCCTTCTTCTCCAAGAAAGGAGACAAAATTGTGCAGGAAACATTTTCTTTTAAATAAGCAGAGAAGGACATGCTGATTTCTGGATTCCTGTAAACTAACTTTGTACAGTCACGTGTTACCTGAAGCAAATGATTCACTGTCCTACTGTAAATACCCCCCCTAATTCTGTACAATAGCAAGGGTAAAACAATTGGCCTGCATCTATCAGAGTGACAAAAATACCTTTGCCATCTGCAGCGTGATCTGAAGGCTCCTCATTCTTTACTGTGCTTTTAGCTTCTGTCTCTGGAACAGTCTTAGATACTGCTTGGTCTTCATCATTAGGACTGACTTCAGTGCCTTTACTGGGCTGAATTTTCTGTGTGGCCTGTTAGAACAAATTCATTCAGAAACAACACTAAAGACAGCCGTGAAAATTAAACTATAAAGGCTCTCAGTTTTAAGATTACTTCGGGAAAGCAAAACTGCATTTATGAATTAGATGATCACCAAAAGGAACAACAGCAGAAGTCCTCGAGACAAACCTCAGTCCTGAGGGTAGTTGGTAAAAGTTGGACATTTGTAACTAAACAGAAAACTTAAAATACTGTATGGTTCCATGACGTTTTCATCAGCATGTAAAGGAAAGCAGAATCGCTCATAATCTGTGAATAATGCTACAGCTATTCCAGAAGAATAGCAAGAAAACTTTGGCCATACCACAATACATTAACTTTACTGTAATAAAACTTACAGGAGAACCTCGGAAAGTTATTTTTATGGGTGCTACATTTGCTAGAGTTCTGGCTCTGGTACGAAGCTACCACACAATCTGTGACCAAGCATAATTCTGCGGCCACCCAGAGGAAATTACCATGGCAAAAGTGTTCAGGCCAACTGAGCTCAAATATATGACAATCAGTTAAGACATCATTAGCCTTGAGCCTCAGAGCAGGGAGACTTCTGCAAACATTTCTGGATTTTAAGGCAAAATTTGATTGAAACCTACTTGAAATCTGCTTAATGGTTTGTAATATCTGTAAACAGACATGAACCAGGAAACGAAGTTTTCATTAAAGGTGGGTTACCTGTTCATCCTTTTGTAGGAAACATGCTCACATTCTACTGACTACTTGCACAGCATAACTACCCACTGATGCCACTCAGAAAGCAGTGTATTTGAATCCCATTAGCACCTAGAAGCCTCAGAGATCAGATTCCTCTTTGCAATAATCTGTATAATATTACAAGCACATTGATCCTACCCTGGAGGCCTACAAAGTAATATCCATTTTAGAGAGAAGAAATGGAAATCCTGAGCGATGATATCATGTAGGAAGGCTGCAGCAGAGCAAAGAATTAAGCCTGATCTTCAAGGCTTAGCTCAACAACCAAACAAAACAAGCACATGTTCTGACACTAATATTCATTTAGGGCCGTGCAGCGCAACATTTATCCAAAACTTGGAGGAGAAATGTCCAGGAGCTCCACGTAACAGCTTATTATGTGGAGCGCAGACTTGGGGCTCTCTAATTCAACAGAGAAATTTAACCGTGTATTACCTTTTGCTCCCGTATAACTTGGTCCACTAATTTCTTCATATTTTCTTCATGTTGCAGTCTCATTTCCTTGATCTGCTGGCTACACTGCAGACTTAATTAGAAACACACTATCAATCACATTTGAGTAGTTATATCAGCTTTTGCACAAAGGAAAAAAAAAAAAAAGAAAAAAAAAAAAAAAGAGTTGCACAGAAAGCCAAATCTGAGAGAACTAGAATAGTTTGGCCAAAAATCTATGCCTTGGAACAAGAGTGGAAACAGACCGAGCAGAGCAGGAAAAGAGGACTGGAAAGAGACAGAGACAAAGCAGAAAAACAGGAAAATAAACCTAACAGCCCTGAAAACACTTCCCCCAAACCTGCAAGGCAGCTGCAAATTCAATCTCCTGTCATCAGCAAACATGAATTCTACTTGGAATGCATGGAACCATCCTATGGCTGTCAACACAGAGGATGCACAACTACCACCATCAGTTACGGCTACCAACTCAAATAAAAAAATTGTAATCACACAACTCAAGTCTCAGGTTTTCTAACAAGCCACAGAGATCAACCAAATTAAAAAAAAATCCCTGGGCCCTAACACACATACACTGAAAACTCTTTTTGTGATTTTATTTATACACATACATATACATATTTTTCCTCTCGCTCTTTAAGGCTTCAGAAGTAGTTTTCTCCCTTATTTGTTCATTATCAACTTAAAAGGCTGAAATTAACTTCAAGTTTCAATTACATACAATGATTTTACTTCCAGTTCAAAAAAAAAAAAAAAAAAAAAAAAACACTTAGGAAGAAAACAATGAACAAATGAACAATAACCTGTGGCTGACAGAACTGTGGAAATTAAATTCAACTCTTCCATTTATCAGTTCCCATTATTCAACATCTCCATATTATTAAAAAAAACATTTTGACTTAAAATTACCTAACGCTGAATAACTATGACAAGCCAGATTTCTCTGAGATAATTCAACTAGGAGTAGAAGGAAGAAGAAAACACCAAAAATAAAGAACCTTAAAATCAAACAGCCAACTAAGTCAAATGCATCCCCAACAGGGTACGTTCAAGTTTGAGGAATAACAAAACTAGGATTCATTTGTGCCTTTAAAAAAATAAATATAGCCTTGCACTACACACAAGCAAACCTACAGTTACCAACATTTCTAAAGACATACCTATCATATTCCAATCTCCTCGTAAGATAAGTATTGTTCTTCTTGTATTCATGAAGCTGATCTTCCTGACGAATGAATTCTTGTCGTAATTCTGCCAGTTGTTCTAGATCAAAGTGCAAAATCAACACAAATATATACGTACATCTCATGGTGCATACAACTTACAATATTGTGATATAAATTACAAATTAATGCGAGAAACTTAGGCCTTCCACATATATTTTTAAAATTCTTAAGCTAATTTGGAAAACATGTCAGCTAACTCTTGTATGCCATATTTTGATTCTTAATTAAGAAATTAACAAAACAAATCTGATACTGTGCGACCTGCTATGTTTTAAAATAAATAAGTAATGATCCATGTTATCACTAGGTTATTTTGGCACTATGATCAAATACTTTTTCTAGAAAATTAGTGCACAAAAAGAATACTTCACACTAGCCATAAAACCATTTAACATGCTCTTCACAGGCACTTGTTCTAGAAGTTCTCTCTCTCCTCTTCAGGCTACAAGTTATTTGCTAAGCTCCCTACTGTTTTAAGTTGAAACTATGTTAGTACAGACAGAAATGTAAAGTATCTTGTCTTCAGGCATGTACAAATTTTGGCAGTATTTCCTGCAGGACTCTGAAAACCAGAGACAAGACTGCAAGGCCTGTGGAGAACAGCACAGATGTGCACTCTTAAATGGTGCTTTCTGCTGCTTCTCTGAGCTGACACAAGTATCACAATACTGCTGATCCAAACCTTATAAAACTGTGTGTGCTTTGATCATGAAAACGATTCTAATGCCTTGGAAGTAAGTGGTGTCAGAATGCGTGTTTTTTTCCACAGAGAATAAAGTCTGCAGAAGACAACTCTACCCTTGCCATGCCAGACAGTGAACAAGCGCCAAGGAGCTTCAGAGCAGGAGATGCTCCCGCAGCACTCGAGCTTTCATCTCCAACGTGTTCTGAGGGCCTAGGCAGTTATAAAACACGACCATAAATCCCTTACCCTTTAAACGATGGATATCTGCCATTTGATACGATATGTTGTTCTGCAGCTTAATCTGAAACAAAAAAAAAGGAAAAACAAAAAGCTTATAGGGGGATACAGGGGATCTTTCGCAGGTTAGGAGGTGTTTATACCTGCAAAGAACCATTTGCTTGTGAATTGTTATTTTTTCCACTGTAAAGAAAGAATACCTATAAAGGAATATCAGAATGACGACAGAACATTCTTGTGACTATAAGCAGCTTATATTTAGTTATCTGTAAATGATACCAATTTAAGCACTACATTTAGCCTTTGCTAACAAAGGTATAGAAAAGTTTCCAAGACATATTTCTATCAGAAAAGCAGATTTGTCAAGACTAAAATAACCATATTGCATTCTGATATGACAAAAAGGGATAGTGGATTTTCAATGTCAAAGATAAATGTACAAAAATAAACAGTACCATTGGCAAAAACAAATTTTACCTAATGCATGTTGAAAGTAAATATTTAATGGGATGCTACATAATACTCATAACAGGAATTATACTTTAAAGAGTGAATGTGACACCAATGGACTTTTGTGAGTATTTAATTCGATATTTATTGTAATTGCTATTTTTCCTCACTAGTTCATACACATGAAGTTATTGAGCAAAAATGTTTTGTCTTGTTCTTATACAAAGAAAAAAAAAATCAGAAATAAGGAGAAAGATGTGCAGGTAGAAGACACTGAGAATGGGTGAAAAATCCCACGGCTGCTACTAGGCAACACTGGTATCGAATCCCTCCCACCAGGATCAACATAAAGAGTAACTGTCCCGCGGTGCTAAAACCAACAACGCTGCCATTCTGGATTCCAAGGGCAGAATTACCTCTCAAGGTAGAGGCTGCATCTAAATACTATGTCTTATCTGATCTTCATTTAATTAACCAAAAGGTAAAACAACCCACAAAGCACCACACCTGTAAGTGCTTTCACAAACAGTTTCTGCATTAGTTAAAATGCCGGTATCTTTGCCCCTTAAGAGCCCCTGCGTTTCCCACTTTGAACCTGCATATGGGCACAGGCACTTTGGAGCGGGGGGAGGCAGACACACAGGCTGCTTCGATTCCTGCGCAGGTGCTGAGCTCAGTGTCTGAGTCACTTACCCAAACTGCCTGTAGAAAAATATATATATATACACACGCACACACACGTACACACATACACACACACGCCCTTACTTTCTTAAGATTTCTTCCACACACTTCAGACTTCAACAACCTCAGAATACTGACCATTCTGCTCCAAAATGTGCCTCTCCAGGGGGACACTTAAGGATCCACTGTGGCATTTCACAGCCACGCGTATGAGGAACGATTAAATACATTCTCAGTACAAGCAGGAATCAAAACAAGGAAGCCTACTAGTTACAGCACTGGCAAAAAACAACTTTTAGTTAAGTAAAAGCCTGCCTTGGGTTTCCTGTGTTAAAACAAGAAAAAGAAAAAAAAGCACAAAGATGCCCTGTGGTGAAGATTCTACACAGAACCAAAGCATAAAAATAACCTCCCACCCTTTCTGTAAGGAAAGCGTGCAACTTGCAAGCTCCTTTTTAAATCCTGCTTCATCTATTGGACACCAGGATGTAGCGATGCAAAAAGTTATTTGATGAGCATTAAAGAGTATCTTTTCTCTTTGTTTGGGGGAAATACAGGAGCAGGGGTATTAAACAGAAAAGCTACAACCAGCAGCAATCATCATTTTTACCTGCCTTCTACCCCAACACAGCTCTTTTGAAAAGCCCTAAGAACACGAGCCTAGGATGACTATGAGCAGTGGAGATCATGCCAGGCAGACAGTTCTTCCCTTTTTAAACCTTTATACATCAGAATCCCTCATACAGAAAAGCTTTCTTCCACTTAAACCACAAAACATTTGACTTGTGAAGAGTTTGGTGATGGGAGATGCTTGTTCTATTAACAAGAGTCTGATCCAAAAATCTGATTATCAATTTTGCCACAATCTTTAATTTTAGAGATTTTGTGCGTCAGATAGAAGTGACAGCACTCATAGCCAAAACATCTCAGCTGACAGAAAATGTCCCTAATCTGGAGGATAGAAAGGGAGAAGCTGCTTATGATTCATGGGAGCTGTTCCACCTACACTCACAAAAAACATGGAGCAAGTCCAGTTCTTTCGTCTGCATCCTCCTTGAATCTAGACCTATTTGTACTCTTCTTTCTCAGATCTTCTCCAAAGCAATGGGGGGAGGGAGGAAAAACCACCACTCTAGCCCAGGGAGATCAATTCAAGAAAACCAAACATTACAAACCCTGTGCTGGCCACTGTTACATATAGGCAAGGCAGTACCTACAGTGCTGTTCAAATTGCAAGGGTCTTGTCATACAACAAAAGGCAATGAAAGAAAAGAAAGTTACATTGAAGCTCCTCTGTGCGTATGGCAGGATGGAACGGGGATGGAACTGCTTCCCCATTAAAGACTGCCTAAATGATAAAGTGTAAACATCCACCCTTATTTCACCAAGTCATTTCTTCCTCTAGCAAGAAGGCCCCTTGAAATCCCTGCCAAGGCAGCACAGGCAGGTGCCCACGCTGCTCGGTGCAGCCTTACACACACAGGAACAGCGAGTACATTGCTAGAGCACATCTGGGAGCACCAACAGCCCTCTTGCACAAAGGTCTACTTTTCATAACCCTTCTGCTACCGATTTGTCACCTCACTCTTCCAGAGCCATACTGTCAAACAGTCAGTGGAGACCAGGAGATCAGGCATGGTTCCGCGCTGCAGCGTTGGCAACACAGAACGCGCAGCGAAACAGCAAGAGGGCTCCAACCTCCTCCCCGCAAAGCTGCAGCTCTGCGAGCGGATAAGCTATGCCGGAGTTTTGGCTACAAAGCTCTGCAAAGAAGGTAAGCTGCTTCCAAGCACGTTTCACTAACCAGTTTCACAGACGAAGCTTCAGCTAAGGGAACAAGGTGCTATTATGCTGCTGGCACAGCCAGTGACAACAGCAGAACGAGCCAGGCTCGCTGCGGGATCTGCCAGTCCCCAGGTAGGACCCCTCCGTGCTGCACAGCTGCCTTGGAAGCCTTCCACCCTGCACTCGTGCCATCCAAGCACTTTACGGAGCTTACTGCAAAAGGAGGTGGAAAGCCACGGAAAAAAAGGTGCCCTCACCCTGTGCCGCAAAAACCATGAAGCACTAAGGTTCATAAATAACTGATATTTATGGTAAGCTGCATGTGCGACCTCCGCCCCGAGGAGTGGGATCACCACCCTTGCTTCCCTCCCAAGGACAGTGGCTCCAGAAGAGCAGGATCCTCTATCCTGTCCCAAGACCTAGGGAATCGTCGCAAGCTCCTAACACTTAGCAGAGGGCGAAAGGAAGAGTCTCCAACAACTCTTAGCTCTGGCAGAGAGGTAGATCTACTCTTGCATCTTCCCCTGTGAACGTTACCAAGCGCTGCTGGGGACCAGAAGCAGCAATTACCAAAAAGTAGGTGCTGTCACAGCTCCTCTCTTCACCATCCCTCCTTTGGCAGCCCCACCTGCACTTTCCCATCCATTTAAGTATTTTCCCAGGTCCCAAAAGGCTCTTCTCTTCCCATCCCTCATTATACTCTCCCCTTTCTTTCAGGTTCTTTAGAAGACCCCTCCGCTTGTGAGCAATTCACCTCAGTCTCTCAAGATCTTTTACATCAGCAAATATCTCTCCCTCTGAGACCTACCATACTTGATTATCCTATATCTAAAGAACTGCTCAGACAAAAGTTAAAATCATTTATTTTTCCAGCTTTAAATGTAGCAAAATTATTTTTCCCGTCCTTTTTCAGCATACCTCAGCCTTCTCAGGGAAACCTCCTGGCTTCCATATGCTGCCAGTAGCAGGTGCTGCCTAATTGCAGGCCACTAAGTTTACAGTACATCAAGTTTACACTTTAATAAACTTTAGACTGCACAGCTGGGGGTTTCACAAGACACTAGGCCAGTTTACTACATTTACAGTTCTAAGAGCCGTTGTAAGAGCAAACACTATTCTGTGACTGGCTTGTAAAGCACACGACGGGAGGGAGAGGAGAGCCAAGGGTGCGACGTGGCTAGAGATCTCCCGGAGCCAGGAGGAAGCTGCCGGCAAAAATTCAAGTTGCTTTTGCACTGGAAGATGTATCCTTGGTGTGCGTGAGCGCAAGGAAGAGAATCCCTTATGAAGGCTACAGAGCACAAAGCAGAACAGACACTACATCAGCTACCAGAGTACCGTCTTTCAAAGGAGCCGCTACAAAATAAAAACCTAACTGTTGCCTTGGTACCCACTGTTCCACTTGGTACCCTGGGAATTACCAGTGTCAGTTCCTTATTACACCTCCTGCATTTCACAGACAAACTGGGCTTGCTGGCATGGTTTGTTCAAACACCATCCCTGCTAAATTCTATTTAGAGAAAATAAAAAGGATCAGTCATCTTTTTTTGGTCAGGCACTTCATGCACACTTTGTGCTTTTTTTTTTTTAGCAAAAGATCTGTTGATTGCTTTACTCCCTAAGGCATTTCACTTAATTATTTTTTTAATATAGGATTGTTGCCACTGAGAATATTTTAGCAGCTCCCAGAGGACAGGGAGATAAACGGCCAGTAACTGTTACTTGTAGGACATGAGATTCCTATCTTAGAGATGAGCAATTTGGGTAGCACCCCATTTCTGTTTGGTTTGCTGTCTTTAAACACTCCATGCAACATCATTTTACTGTTTGCAATTTCCAAATAAACCCTACTAAGAGAACACTGCCAGCAGAAGAGAAGAATTCTGTAAAATAGGCGAGACTGGGCTTTAATGATCACAGTAATGGATCTGCACATTAGAAGATCATTCAGAACTACAAACTCAATCCTGATCGGGCACAAGTTAACAACAACTTTATGCTTGCAAGAGAAGGACAAGTGATGCCCAACTCAGTATAAAATCTGATCATGTTAAGCTTAACCTGCCAAAGTTGTTTCTGAAAAAACATAAAGAAACCAGTTTGCAAGAGATGAAGCTGCCCTGTATGTATACAGTATTTTTGACATAATACTAAGG